CTACAGACTGACTATGTTCGATGATCGAGTCTCCAGTTAAACACTCAGTGGAAGAGATGCACAGCGATAATGCGACGACCCACATCAACGCTTGTAGGATGGATGATGCCATAATGAATCAGAGGTGGACAAGCTGCAGCAGATTATATGGTTGTTGGATTTACCAACAAGTAGCATTATGAACTCTTCAAGCGGTATTTTCATTATTCGCATTGAAATTTGAATAGACGGATTTGACCTCGAATACCGGTAATTATCTTTCGATAACCACCATCGCACAATGGTCGCCCTCTTGCATAAACATAACCAAACATTTTGAATTTTCAAAATTTTTATTAATAATGTTAATTTTAGAGGACATAAAGATTTAAATTTGAATTAAAATCATAGAAAAAAAACATGTGTCATTTTTAAGACTAGAAATTATAAATTATATAAAAAATAACAAGCGGCAAGTTTAATATTTTTTATTAGAAAAGAGAGATTTCATTGGATAATCAAATGATTTTGGTTATTTTTATTTGATTTTCGAATTAAAATAGTTAAATTCAAGCAAATAGTTAATCTCATAAAAGATCTTATCTTTTGTGTTTTTTTAATTAAATCTCAAATTTATTTTTGCCTAAAAAAACATTTTCCAAATTTGGCCCTTTTAATCATTTTTTTCCAAAAAAAAGTTATATAATGTGATGGTTTTTTCGAGAAAACTAAAAAAGTTGAGATTTATTTGGAAACAATTAGAAGGTTGAAGGTTTTTTTCGGAAAAAAAGACAGAGTTAAGGGGTTTTTTAGGAAAAAATGAAAATACAAGGTTTTTTCAAGCAAAAAAATAAAGTTGATGTTTAATCCGGAAAAAACACAAAATATAAGGTCTTTTATGAGATTAAGTTTAACCAAATACTATAATTTGTATATATAATGTGTTTTTTTAAATACCATCAGTTCACATATAAAACAGTAATGATTATAATGAACTACAAAAATACCAAAATAAAGTTTTGATCCAAACAAGTACATATAGAGGAGACGAACGAAAGTTAAGTTTGAAATTGTGTTTTGCTTTGTGCAATATGTATAAATTTTGAGAGTTAATACCAAAAGAAATATCATAAAAGTCTATACTGTTTAAATAAATTAGAAACATTGAATATCGTAAATGAATAAAAAGTAATATTAATAAAAACTAAAGAATAAAAAATGTAACTTTAAAATATAGTAAGACTAAAATCACAACTTATAAAATACCAATAATTTAACTATAAAATAATAAAGGATGAAAACGGTTAGATCAAAAAATTTTGAAAGGAAAAAATATAAACATAAATTGTTATAACCAAAGACAAAATTTCTATTTCCAAAAAAATTCTTATTTTGCTATATGCTAAAAAATTTGTAATGTGATTTGCTTTTAGATATTTTTGTTTGAAAATAGCAGAAATGAATAATAAATTCACCTCATATAACTACTTTGATGATATATATATATATATATATA